CAGAAATTGATTCCACATCAATGCTTGAGCAAACCAGTAAGCATATATACCAATAAGCCATCCTCAAATTAAAAAGCCATAATTCCTTGTACTTTCTCATTCACTACTTGGAGACTCCAGAAGCAAAAGAAACCTATGACTATTACATATAATCATTTGTTTATCATGAAAACGTAAAAAACTGTTTTATTTGTTGAAACGTCAGTAATTCAGGAGATTCGTATAATTTATCCGTCTCTTTCTTTCTATCTCTCTCTCTCTCAAAATCATTCTGATCAGATCCTAGTTCAGTATTGGAATAATAGATCAATCCAATTCTCGACACCCCAAGTTACAAATTCACAAATCTAAAACAACGAATGTTATTAATTAATATATCAGAAAAAAATAAAACACACTTTATAGTAGATATTCAATCTCTTCTCTCTCTCTCTCAAACATGTACCTACACAGCCTTAACCTATCACTTTCCTAGACCGAAGATGCCAGATCCGTATGTGGAGACTATCATGTCAACAAGAAGGGGAAACTGCAATAATACAAACAAGGCAACTGGGACACTACCAAGCAAAGTTACAGGAATGGCTGTCCATTTAGCTCGATGATGAAGAACAATGAAAAGTGTTGCACCAAAAGCTATCATCATAGTTGCTACTGAGAAGAATAGAGTGGCAAGACCGATTATCAATCTCTTGGGCAATGATACTAGGAAATCTTCTTCTGCATATCGTGATGTGAGGATTCCTAGAAACATCAACACCGAGGTGGTAGAAGAAAAGAGCGAAAATGCATCCGAGATAATAAAAATCATGAAAGCTTTGGTGTGTAGAAAAATAGGAATGCCTGTATCACTATTATTTCCCCCTGGCATAGTGAACGCTGCTGTAAACATAATTGTTGCAATCAGAGTTGCCACAACCATACATGATGTTGCTGTGTCCTTCATCCACTTCTCCCCATCCTTGACCAAGTTCCTGTGTGCCTCTGTAAACAATGTTTGAGGTGTTTGGCCATTTGAATTTTGGAATTCTTTGTACTTGGGTGGTACAAACTTCTCTACCTCCTATTATTTGACAGTTTAGAGAGTTTTAGAGATAGATACCACGAGTTGATGAGTTCACTTTTTCTAGGACATGGTTTTAGCCCTTTGCCTCTGATGTTCAGCTGCAACATCACCATGGCATTACTTCATCTAATTCAAGGTAGGGCCACAACAATATATTGAAGGCTCTGATTTCCTTGTTTTTCTAGCCCATGGCTAAAACGAGATTACATCAGTGCCCCATAGGTGCCATACATTCATGCATACCTTAGAGTGCATTGGAAACATTTTCCATACTTGTCCTTGGGAGATGTTCCCAGTACACGGTTCAGATGTGCTCTGGACCAGGCGCCTGTGGGGTGCACTATGTGAGGCGTATACGTGAACTTGGCTAAGATAACATGAAATTGTTTGATAATATACTAATTAGTGTCATGCAAAGACAAATGAAATTGTTTGGAACTGTTGGAGACATAATCATGTACATTGGGGTCATGCATGGTTTTGTCCCCAATAGATCTGAACCCAAATTGTTCATCATCCGGAGTTAATAAAAAAGAGCTTACCTTAAACCATTGAAGCTCCCGTTGCATCTGCAAAGCTGCCCCAGAGACTCTACTAAGCTGTGAGTAAGGTGATAACATTGCAGCTAAATGTAACATAGTGTTTTGCTGTTTATCAAATGGCATGATGTAGCTCTCTTTTGTACCCATCCCATATATGAGGTTGAAGACTTTATGTTGTCGATGTACAATTGCAACTGTAATTATGCTTTGACCATTTTCATCTAAGGCATATAGTGTATTGGGAATGGAGTCGATGATTCCATCAACAATCTCAACAATCCCAAATTTGGCAGCTCTATGCATTGCAAAGTACACTCCTGCCTCTTGAAGATGCGCTTCATCCAATTTTTCAATTTCAGAACAAATAACTTTTAGTATTTCAATCACTTGAATACGTACCAGCTTCTTTTGGTACACTTGCTGAATTCCTGGATAGTCAATAAGATAGTTAGAAAAATAAAAGATTATGATTTATCCAAAGATCAGATGATCCAAGTGAGTGATTTTTTCGCATACCTAATGGTTTAAGGGCACTCCATGCTATTCGACGTAACAACCAGAAAACTACAACATAAACTATTACACTTTTCACTTAACATAAAATGTTGAAAGTGTTTATACTATTTGATATGAATACATTTTAGAAATGCATGAATAATGATGAAAGATATAAAAATGCTCAGATACATGTAGGGAAATGCATAAAATCACATAAACATATTAGTAACAGTAAATCTAAAGTTAAAATATCTATGAACAGGTTATATGAAGAGAAACATTATAATCAATAATATTGGGACTCAAAAACACATGCACATCATACAATGATTATCATATCGGTACTTTGAACCTTGGGTCTTTGGGCCAACATAACTTGTCACATGTACCATATATATTTCAAGAATCGTGAACCACCACTTGATAATATCAGGTGTCACCAAAAACATTGGACATGCCAAAAGTCTGTATCATCCTCTCTCTCTCTCTATATATATATGTGTATGTGTGTGTGACCAAATAAAAAAAAGAAATGGAGGCACCCACTTGAATAGATCCATTGTGCCCAAATACTATGCTGACTTCCACTTGGAAATGCTGAAGGCCTACGAGCCAGTGTACTGAGTGCTGTCTCACCAAATTTATCTTTAGTAATAGCTAGCCTTGGAAAGCGCTGGAGTAGATTCAGAGCAACATCTTTGGAAGAAAACAAACAACAATAAGGATATCAACAACATATTGTAATGAATTGCTTCTGCTACTTAAAATATATATTATATATATAAGCTTAATTACATGTCCACGTTCTCACCGTAGATCTCAGCAGAAATTGTTTCAATAAGAAGTGTGACTCCATTATTGTTACTTATCTCAGGATTAAATTCAACCAGTGGTGTGACTGAGTAAAGGAAGCGCACCATATCCTTTCTGCCTCTGATAGCAGCCACAACAACTGGGATATAACCATACGAATTCCGTATACATACCAAACCTCTATTTCCATTCACCATGGCCTCAGCAATCCTTGTGATTCCACCAACGGCAGCAATGGAAAGAGCTGTGATACCATGGTTGTCCGTTACTTGCAAATCATTTTTAGACATCAACTGTACCAGCTTCTCAACCATTACAACATTGCCGTTCAAAGTCGCAACATGCAGAGCAGTCTGCCCTAAAGATGTGATCTTGGCTCTCACTGCATCCGGATGGACAGCAAGGAATCTTTCCGCACTCTCCCACTCACCACCATCCACAGCCTTGTATAGGGGCAGATACTTTACATAGTCCTCCCGGAGATTATCTGTCACTGTTTTGATCCAACCAAACCAATTAAACTTTCAACTTATTTTGGGACATAAGGTCAGTGCTCAACCATATCTCTAGCTAGCATGGTTTATATACAGCAGACACGAAATAATTGGAAATCTGATCTTCATCGTAGATAATTATTATTAGGGCTGTCAACGGATAGGTTCTGGGTTCCTGGAACCAATAACATTCCCACAGACTCGGAACCGATCCAGACCCTATAGGGTCTGTGATTTTGGACTTAGAATTGAATCGATCGGTTCTTGAGACAATCGGATCCGATCCGATGGACTCGATAATGCTATGTAATTAAAAGCTAAAACCCTGTTAAAAAACAACAAAAAACCTAATACAACCTGGACGGGCGGACAGATGGACGGTGAGATGGCCGGGGGGGGGGTTGGGTCCAAAATCAGTTCGGATCAAGGTGGACCCGGTTCCGACCCTATAGTAATTGAGATTTTTTTAAGATCCAGAACCGATTCATCGGGACAAGTTCTGAAACCAGAATCCGTCCAATTGGTCCGGATTCATCGGGCTTATCGGGTCTGACCAGATCCATTGACAGCCCTAATAATTATAAATAAATCTCTCTTTGTATAATTGCTCATTGACTTTTCAGCTGTCAAGAGACTCATCGACATAATGAGGCCGGTTAAGCATTAATTGGAGTGGTATTTTTCCCTTTGGTCCTGTAAATAGGGGTGGATTCGAGGCGAGGTGAGTTGAATATCAAGCTATTCGGGTTCGGCTTACTCATAAATTATTAGGTTCAAGCTTGATTTGAATTAGAGATTTGAGTTCGAGCTTCTTTCAAGTTAAAAGCTCGGAAGTTTGAATTTAATTTGGCTCAAGTTCTATTATCTTTGATTGCAGGTCTCTCTAGCAGTCGATAGGAGTGAGTATTCAGTTAAAAATCGAATCGAATAAATCAAAATTTTTAAAGTCAAATTAAAAATTTGAAAACCGAAACGAAAACCGAATTACAATAAAACCGAAATAACCAAATCAAAATTTTTGGTTTGGTTTTCGATTATTTCGATTAAAAACTGAATTTAATTAATATATATAATATTATATACTATAACCTATAATATATATATATATATATTATGAAATTTAATTTCATTATAATACATTATATATAATATATTAATAATATATAAATATATAGCATATTATATTATATATTATATAATAAATTTTAATTAATTCAGTTTTTTCGATTAACCGAAATTTCTAAATCTGAAAACCAAAATCGAAAATCGAATTACCCAAAAACTGAAAAAACCAAACCAAAAAAACCGAAACTGAAATTTTCGATTCGGTAATTCGGTTTTATTTGGGCTCACTCCTAGCAACTGAGGTGTGAAGTCGAGGTCTCCCTCAGTTGTCGGGGTGCCAAGCTGAGGTCTCCCTTAGTTGATGAGGTGTCAAGCCAAGGTCTCTCTCAGTTGTCGAGGTGTCGAGCCAAGGTCTCCTTCAACTATCGAGGTGCCAAGCCGAGGTCTCCCTCAATTGCTGAGGTGCCGAACCGAGGTCTCTCTCAGTAACTAAGGTGCTGAGCCAAGGTCAAATTCAATAGTCGAGCTGAGGTGACACCTTATGTACATATACTCAACTAGGCTCGTGAGACGCATGAGCCGAGCTGTATTCAACTCAAGCTTGACTTGATTAGTTCAGCTCAAAGCTTGGTTTAGACTTTAGACCAAGCCGATCCGAGCTTGAAAAATTCGTAAACAGTTCGGCTCGTGGCCACCCCTACCTCTATGATGGACAATATCTTTTTTGATTATAACCAAAACCCCAAAATCTAGAATGACCAAATAATCTTAATTTTGCTGTTTAAAGTTCTCTTCGTATCACCAAAGCATGTGGTTGGATGAAACTTTAATAGCCATATAAATTTAAAGTTTGAAGGCTAATTTTTGAGTAATTAAATAATTAATAATTTAAAGGTTAATTAATAAAAATTCAAAATTAAGTAACAAAACTTTAACACATATTACATTAACAAATTTCATTAATAATTTATAACAATTATAATTAATCATAACTTGGGTAACTTTAAAATTAATTATTTGGAATAAATTTGATTAAAAATTAATTGCATTAAAAAAATGCAAATTTTATTAATTAATAAAAATAAATTCAATCTTACAATTTAATAATTAAAAGAAAAATTAATAAAATTTAATAAAGCCCATCTGACCACAAAACAATACATGGATTGTGCTCAAACTAGTTTTAACCCAATTGAGAATGTTATGGGGGTTCTTTTGCTTCAATTTTGCCTAACAAGAGGAATACATGGGATTGGTCTTTTTGTTTCAATTTTAATCCATTCCTCATCAAATTGGATATTCCCTTCAAAGCTGAAACAAAGCAAAATTCAATGGTATAATTTAATGGAAAAAGGGTGGACATTTACCTTCCTCTGTTGAGCTTGGTCTTGGTGTTATATATGTGGATGACATCTTTTCTGTCATGTACAAGGAAATAATAGCCGAGGCATAAGAAATCTTGAGTAAACAAAGAAAACATGACTAGTGCAACTGCAACAAATGATTCAAGGAAAATTGAATTTCTTATCAAGATGATCACATACTATACTGGTCATTGCAGGCATGTTTATAGGCTAGAAGGCTTCTAAATTAGACTTTGAATCTAATTTTCCAGAAACAGTAAACTTGTTAAATACATTAGAGTGAATTTTATGTAAACAGGGAATTTGCTTAAAAAGATTCAAAACCCTACTATATCATGATTTCTTTCTTTACTCTTAAAACCTAATTATATTTCTATCATAACAACTTTCTTAGCTGTACTACTGTAGAAGCAGAATTTTTCAAGGACAGCTCTGATCAGTGCCATTTTTGAATATCATACTTATGATTTTAGTCTGTGTTCCGTTTGATTGAAAATAAGAGAGAAACATAATGTTCAAGAAAAGTACTGAATAATTTTCACAAATTTTTTTCTGCAATACATCTCACGAACAACCCCACTAATGACAACATACAAGTATAGGCCGGCCCAGAATTGAAAGGCTGGAATCCCGGCTTTGTACTGTGCAGAGGCAACTGGGCCCAGGCCTAAGTTAGCCCACTATTATAGGTGCTAAGCATGGTTTTTAAAATTGAACTGGAGACCTAATCGGTTAGGAGTCCGGTTACCGGTTCGAATGGTCTGACTGTTTGACCTGAACAACTGGCCCATTCTGAAAAAAAAATTAAAAAATTGGAAAATGGTCAAAACCATTCGAACGATTAACCAGCCGATTCAACAGTTTGCTGACCAAAATCAACGATTTTGAGAAAAAAAAAAAAAACGGTTTTAAAAAAAAATGGAATTGATCAAATAACCGATTCTCGAATTTTCTGGTCCGACCGTCCAGTCCTGTCTGGTTTTGAAAACAGTGGTGCTAAGTGCTAACCCAGTCTGGGCCTTGACCAAGATTATCATCATTGCCATCTGCTGCATAAGCTTACGGGATGGTAATTGTTAATTTGTGAGTACAATCAATCATCTTACAATCGAACCAGCATAATGTTAAATATTCTTAGTCATCAATATCACTAGCACCGGATCAAGACACAGCGTTTTCCTCAAGGTTGAGTCTCATGAAAAATTTTACGGGAATTTCCCTGACACGTTAGTACTTATTGGGTATCAAAGCTAGACAATAATTGCTACTTCTTCCTCGGTGGGTATGTATTTAATCAGTTTAGTTTTGTAAAATTTGGATTGATGTTTTTGGCAGAGAGACGATCTAACAAGGGGATCAGGTTTGGAAAAATTAGGGTAAATTGAAAAGAAATGGTGAAAAGTGAAGAGAAATTTTTAGATAATAACCCAAAAGGAAAAATATATTGAAAGTAAAAGGAAATTAAAAAAAAAAAATCTCTGTAATGGAATGATACCGGATTTTCAACTCTTCTTTTTCTATACTAGACAACTACTGCATGACAGATTTTCCATTTTACCTGTGTAAAGAGTAACATTTGAGCATCACACAAAGTCTTGGACGCCTGTCACACAGATTAGTTTGTATAGAAAATCTGGATTTTATATAGAGTGTAACTTCCTAATAGCAGATTGGCATTCAAACAGTCCCCCTTTGCTTGTCAAGCCTTCGCCCCTTCCCCTTTTGTTTGGTCTGTTTTCCTGGAGTGTTTTTACTTTGTCATGTTCAAATCTAATAGTTTTTCTTCGGCTTTTCTTGCTGCTTGCGATCTATTGATTTGTTCTCTGAGCATTGCTTAATGAATGAAGTTTGCCTTTTCATGCTTAAAAAAATACGGATTTAGTCTGGATCATCTGAACATGATGGCTGTATACTAGGGGTTATATAACCAATAATAATGAGTGATTTTGGGGCATATACACTTGTCGATGTGGAGATGTCATTAATTATTAGTTATACATCCCCTCACAACATCAACTTCAGTTAAAGGTGTTAGAAAATTTGTGTACATGCATTATAAGCACCAAGTGATTATAAATTAGGAACATGCTCTAAGGCCTCATTTTTTCACACTGTACAAAGTGGGGAATTGGTCAATGGCTCAATTGTGCCACACACAATTTGACAGTACCCTAGTAAATACATTCTCAGGACAGGAACAAGGCCTTAATTGTGCCACACACACAAAGTTTCATTGTCTTTTGACTGATGGAGATATTCTTCTTCCTGTCCAACATGACACGTGCAATTTCATAAGAGTCAATTTGGAAGAAGTACAAATACAAATATATAGAGTGTAAAACTTTGTATTTTGTATGTATTTGTATTTGCACTCTTCTCAATAATTAAGGCTAAGGCTGTGTTTGAAAATAATGCAAATGGAGTATAAATCCTGGTTCAGGATAAATTTGTACTCTGGTTCATTTTTGCTTGTATTTGGAAACATTATATTTATGTATTGACAAATGACAGACCAATGCATATTTATATTGATAATAAATTATAAAAGTACATCAATATAAAAGAAGTAAATTTGCATTCAAGTGGGCTTTTGATAAAAAATAAAAAACATATGTTTATTGGAATTTGTCTTTGCATCCAGTACAACTAAAAGTTTGTTTGGTAAGAAGATAAATTTGTCAGTGCAAAGCTAACCCAACTTTACAATTTATATAAATCATTTTACACTCTACAAATTGGCATTCACACTTATTTGCATTGTTTACAAATGCAGCCAGGGATTGAATGAATATCATTACAATTTACAACTTATAAAACTATTCTACCTGGTTTATCATTCAAATGCATTTTACACTAACAAAAAAAATGAAAATCTATCTCAGAGAGAGAGAATGAGGAAGGAGGTGTACCTGTTAGAACAGATGACGTGGACCTTCTCTGCAAGATGAGATTGGAGAAACTTCGAGAGGGGAGGGGGGGGGGGAGCGTATTTATTTAGCTTCTTTAAGAGTACAGTGAGGAGAAGACAAGTATCAGATCCTTTTTCTAATGTGAAGAAAAGTAATATTTCTTCAAGAAAAAGTAAAAGCAGGTCCTATAGGCACTTACAAATAAAAGAAACGGATGCAACCATGGATGCTCGATGCTTTTACATTGGATCCATCTTTGAAATTGCGGGGTTTTATATTAAAAAACTTGATGAAAAGAAAAAAAAATGGAGAATATTTTGAAGAGTATCATAGGGCAAGAGTGGAGGAGCTGAAGTTAACACCTAATAATTGCTTGGGTGAAAATTACTTTTTTGGGAAATTATCTAAAACCCACCATAACTTTTTCTCATTTCTCTTAAACTTAGCATCGCTTTTTAAAACCTTTAGAGAGCTTTCGAGTTTGATTGTACAAAATTCACCTTCATTTAAGATTTCCATTAAATATTTTTCATGACAAAATTATGCCTAACCCAAGCATAGACCCACTCTAGGCCCATAGTAATTGGGGGTAATTTTATCGTAAAAATATTTAATAAGGTAGAGTGGTCATTAGGCATAGTTTGGTCATATAAAATACTTAAATGCTTATTGGACAACTTCTATTAATGATCATTGATAGGGCTCTTTGGAGGTTTTTTTTAAATGGTGATGAGTTTAAGAGAAATGCCTAAAGGTCATGGTGAATTGGTTAGAGGATTCTATCTCTCTAGGAATGGCAATAAGCCGGGACAGAGATGGGGAGCCACTCCCCATTCCTGTACCAACGAAAAACCCTATCCCCATGGACCCCATACCCTAGAAATGGCCAGAATTCCGTTAAAGACAATAGTCATAGAAGAGGAGGAACCCCCTCAGGTAACAATATAGTATCTGTGAAGCTTAACAAGGTTTGGGTGATCAATCAAAAAGTATCAGTATTGTAAGAATGACCTAGTTAGGTCATGACCCGAATTGTGGCCCTTAATAATGGCGATACTTTAGGTCATTTTCAAATTTAAGATGTTGGTACATTTTTTCTTGGGCTTTTTGTGATTTAAATTAGATTCATCATTGCTTTTTGGTATTTTTTTTTTGTTATTAGTGGAGTGTGTTGAGTCCCACATGGAGTAGAAAGAGCACTATTCTTGGATTTATCTATTGCCCTATGTATTTTGTTTGTCTTATAGGGCTTGTGGAGAGAGTGCACTCGGACTGCCACACACATGCATGCACCGGGCCGGGCTGCGCTAGGATAATGTGCACTACAAGAAAAATGACTTTTAAACTGCCACTAAAGGTCTTTAAAACTTCCGCTACAAACTTTATTGACAGGGCAAATTGCCGCTAGGTATAAATACAAAACGGTTGCTAAAACTTTACTGACACGTGATTTTTAGCGATAGTCAAGGTCATCTTTAGCAGTTATTGCTATATGTTTGACACGTGATTTTTTAGCAGCAGTTGTGAGTACTGCTAAGTCAAGGCCATCTTTAGCGGCTATTGCTATAAGTCTACTGGTAAATCTAAACTTTTTTTTCATATAATCATTTTTTTTTATTTTTTCTAATTTGCTTTAGATAACCTACTTTCTTTACATTCATCTAAATTGAAAATGATGAGGGGTGATTTGGTATAAAGGATACATGGACATGATCTGCCAGTAGGACGACAAGTCAGCATATGGCGCCCTGTCAGTAGATTGAGGGAGCTCGGGTACTTAGTCACCTCGGGACCAAAGCACCACTATACCCATGTACGCTGAAGTACCATATCACCAAACCCAATGACTTTCCAGTTGTCTTCGAACTTCTCAAGATCACGCCACGTGATTATCGACCTTATCCTCATCCCGCCCGGATCGGAGGGAAAAGATAAGCCCCATTAACGGATACGTTACCTTCCTCCTAAGGCGGAATGGAAACTAATGTTACGGGCCGAAGATCTCGGCAACGTTTTGAGAAGACCCACGACACCTCAGYTATAAAAGGGGATCAACCCTTAAGACCCAAGTACGTGCAATTACTAGCATATAAGCTCTCTAGCACTCAAACTTTCAGCTCGCAACCAATAACCAGAGTACTGACTTAAGCAT